GGGGGATAATATACCCTAACAGCAACCCAGTAATTGACTAACTAGCCACCCTCAGCCTAGCAGGGAACCCCAAGGACCCTATGACTGAAGAGTCCTGTCAAACGGGGCCTACTTGGGGTTCTGTGTAAGTTTGGAGGACTGCAGAGAATTAAGAGATAACGCTGCTGAAGTGAGCCAAGAAGCTATCAGGTTCTGGATTGCTTTCTCGTATACGCGTACCTGCAGCAGGCCCAGTCAGGCAGGGTTTTGGCCGCTTGCACGACATTGTCGGCATAGCCAGGTGCAAATCCGGCAAATTCTGAAAGCAGCTGAGAATCTCAGAAGCAGGGTTAAGCGCTTCAAGGGTCTGAGATGCTAGGGTTTCGCCACACAGAATGCAACGCCTCATACACATGAAAAGTCAGCTATGCCTTCAAACCCAACAGACGACCCTTATCTACCAGTCGGCAGAGGTTCCTTCTGCAGCGATTTATGCACAACAGGCGGCATCGGACTCCTGAACTTCTTCAACGAATGCTCCCAGCAAAACGAGCCCTCACAGTTCGGATTTTCCATGAGACCTGAACCCATTTCTCCTAGAGCCCCAAAACTTACTGATTGTAAGTGGGGAATAAGGGGATAACATATTATTCCCTGCTGAGAAGTAGTAAAAATATTTTTTGCATCTGGACTCCTAAAAAGCCCCCAAACTCAAGTCTGCGGTGAGCGGGGCAAAGGCCTAGGCTGAAAACCGAGAATGGGCGATGCTGCTCCTCCATGCGTGAAGTATTTGGAGGGTCATGGGGACTTAGGAAGTAGGTTAATAAGGGGGATAACTGGCTATTAGCCTACTTACTGAGTCCCCATGACCCTCCAAGTTGGAATCTCAATTCTTGCACCTAAAAACATTAGCCGAACACTTGAAAGACGGAGTTTGGGGTTTTAAAGGAGCCTCTCAAACTTGGGTCCTGCCGCTAGGGGCTTAGAGGTAATTTCGGCAGTCAGGATGAAAAAATGACCATGGGAAATACGCCATGCAGAGCAGCAGTGATACCGGGTACCTCTCAGCCAGGATAATGGCTTTTTACAATCCCAACAATCAAGGCTGACAATAAGAAGAACAACCACTGCGGCAGTTGTATCGCTACAGAAGCCGCTGTGCCGATGATCTTGTTCTTGCTTGATGATAGTATATGAAGATGTAATGGCAATAGAAGTGAAATTGTAGTCTCCATTTTCCACTATCCCTATATGACCCCAATATACTATAGTAGTTTCCATTTTCTTTTCCACTATCCCTAATATGACCCCGATATACTATAGTAGCTTCCAGTTCTGCTCCTCCCCCAAAGCGTAGCCAGCCAAACCAAGAAAGTTGAAATTGAAGGTCTCGAGGAAGGTGCCGCAAAGGACCAGCCTACGGTCTGCATGATCAGGGTCCCCTTCAATTAAAGGTGTATATAGAGGTCATATAGGGTTAAGGCTTTAAAGGTTTGTATAGAGGTCATATAGGGTTAAGGCTTTCAAGGTTTATATAGAGGTCATATAGGGTTAAGGCTTTAAAGGTTTATAGGGAGGTCATATAGGGTTAAGGCTTTAAAGGTTTATATAGAGGTCATACAGGGTTGAGGGTTCAAAGGTTTATACAGAGGTCATATAGGGTTAAGGGTTTAAAGGTTTCTATAGAGGTCATATAGGGTTAAGGGTTTCGGTTATAAAGGGATACATAACTCCAATAATGTTGGGGTTTCCCAAAACTAGGATATATAACTCCAATAAAGGAGAAGCAGATAGAGGAGAAAGAGGAAAATTACATGGAAACTGTGATTATGTTGGGGTTTATGGCGATTGGGGGTTTCCCAGAATCAGGTGTGTGTTTTGGGGGTCCCCAAAATAAGGATTATAAGATTTTGGGGTCTACACAGGATTTCCCTAATTTTTGGGACACTACCATGTTGATTCACATGATTCAAACTTGCAAATACAGCCTAGGTTCCACAAACCTAGAGATCAAGGCGAGAGACAGCAAGGACACGCTGATGGCGACTGTTGGGCCATGCACGTCCCAGGGGTTGCTGCAAAGAACTTGGCACAGTCGTCGCTTCCCTTCATCCTGCACGGCGTCGTGGCTTGCGTTTACTACTTTTACCTTCCTGCCTGTCTCTGTCCCACGCTGCAGTATCACTTGCCCTGGTCCTCCTCTTCGACTCCGAACTCACCCAGCTTGTGGGCATATCGATGGCAAGCCGTTGTGATGTGGCCAGCAATAAGTGAGCAGAAGGTAGCGATGAGGAAAGTACTTGGTATGGCAGCGGGATCAGACGTCAACAGCTCATGCAGCTGGCCGTCCCTCTACAGGCAAAGGATAATCTTCGCAGTGCTAAACTACAGCCACCTAAACTCTCAAAGCAAGCAACCACACCAGTGCATTAACATGTCTGCGCCGTTGCAGCTTCCACTGCGCTCCAGACCCTAAACCCTAAACCCTATATAACCCAGTGCTGACTAGCTGCAAGAAGCCCAGGTTTGGCTGCACGAAGACCCTCAGGTTCGCGTCGTCTCCTGCCTCGCGGAAGATGTCCTGAATCAAGCCCGATCCTTCAGTGGCCTCAGGTCATTCGAACTATTGAGCTGGCTTGGGGTTGAGTAAGCATATGACCCAACTCTAGCATCATCTCTGATTAGTAGGTATAAGCGGTTGTAGGACATTTCCTGGTTTTACTTGTATTTCCCTACATGGGGATTAATTGCAGTTCTTCCAATCATCAGAACAGCAATAGCTGCAGTAGCACAAGAGATGAGAAGTCAGGGCCGCAGCAGTTGAAGTAGCAGTAGGAGTACCCTGAAGCCTAAACCCTAAGGATTTAGGGTTTAAGGCATCGACCCTAAACTCTGAAGCCTAAACCCTAAGGGTTTAGGGTGTTATGTGTACGGTTGAAGGTTAGGTAGGACCCTAAACCCTGAAGCCTAAGCCCTAAGGGTTTAGGTACTGGTGTAGGGTTCAGGGTTTAGGTACGACCCTAGACCCTGAAGCCTAAACCCTACACCTGTCTGCCACGACCCAATTTCGCTGCAAGCCGCGCTCAGATCAAACTTGAAGGCAACCATGCAGACCACCATGAAAAACCTCATTTCAGGTAGGAGGCAATGGGATAAATGTCCATAGTCCTCTGAATTCATAGAAGCTGCGTTGTACAACGCTGAATCCTAGACCCTGAAACTTAAACCCTCAAGCCTAAACCTGAAACCCTAAACCCTAAACCTTGAGCCGTAAAAACCTTAAGCCCCAAACCCTAAACCCTAAAGCCTACTCTTGGATCATCCCGAAGGTAATGACTAATGGCTAGGGGTTTCTGGACACGACATGGTACTTCGTTGAATACCAACAATACTACCAACAATGACAGAAATAATACTAATAGCAGGGTTATAGTATACTATGATATATTATGGTATATTATAACTACTGAAAACTAGGTGCCTTCAAAGCGGAAATGGGGATGTGCGGGGTTTAGGACTCATGGGACTTAGTAACTACTTATGACTATAGATCCCTTTCAAGGGGATATGGGGATATGTGGGGTTTAGGATTCATGGGGCTTAGTACCCACTTATACCTATAGATCCGTTTTAAAGGGGATATGGGGATATGTGGAGCTTAACGTTCATGGGACTTAGTAATTACTTATAACTGGTCTCATGACCCTAAGTAACAAACCCAGTTAAAAGTAGTTACTCAGAGCCATGAACCCCAAGTAGGCCTCCAGAAAAGAAAGTCTAGATGTACACAGCAAAAGTGGCCGAAATCAGACACCCACGGCTCGATGTAGGGCCTAAATAATGAGAGCGATATATAGGAGCAACGGAAAAGAACGTGCAAACTACTCTCTAGGGTTTAGGGTTGTATAGGGTGCTTCAAGGGCCTAAATATCAAGCAATAGTTTACCTAGGTTCCCTGTACTTATCCATCATCTAGAACACCCAGCAACCTGCTTGTTTGTACAGCTCATTTCTTATACAGAACTTATGACCCCCAAAAAAGAAAAAGGGCTTACTCAACACCCCTCTACTATAATATACTATAAGCTACGATAAGATAATGTACTATACTAAAATATACTTTACTGTATATACCATAATGAACCATAGTATACTATAATATTGAAGCTCCTACCTACATCAGATCCCCAGAGGGGCCAGGGCCGTTCAGTCGTTGGAAAAATCAGATCAAGAGAAATGGCAGCACTAAGAATGTGGGTGGTTGAAACAACTAGGTGTTCTTGATTTTTTGTTGGGGGGGCTCCGTTTTGCGCACTACCTAGAACACAGGTTGTAGCATAGTGAAGTCTACGTTAAGGGCCCCCATGCATGGAAACTATCATGTTTTGTAGTAAGGGCAGCAAAGTTCATGACAACTTGATGATAAGCAAAAAGTGGCGCTGATGGAAACGAGTGGGCATTTCTGAACGCACTGCTCCCTGAAGAAACCTACAAGGCATAAACTCGAGCTTGCACTGCAGCGAGTGGACGTGTCCACCAGCGACCACTTGCCAAAGGCATCCAAGAAGTTCAGCAAGCCTCAGGTGCGTTCTGGCACGACCCCCATGAGGGGAGGGAACTTCAATGTTGAAATGTCCAAATCAGCTCGAGACACCCTGACGCTTTGCCACACTCAGCCGAGACGGCGGTGTGAACCAGCACACAAGCCTGGTCAAGTACTGCTAGCAGTAGTAGCGATGAGTAGAATTGGTGATACTTCATAGTTTTGTACTTCTCCTTGACATCGTAGTACTAGCTGCAACAGCGGGAGCAGCAGCAGGCATCGTCCTTGTCGGTGGCGTCGCTCGTGGTGGCAGTAGTAACTGGAGCAGCAACAGCAGTAGTAGCAGCCGCGGCAAGAGCAGCGGCAGCAGCAGCAGCAGCATCAGCCAGGCACGCAGTAGTGCTCGTCAGTGATGGCAGTAGCCATGGCAGCAGCAAAGAGTAGCGGTGGGAGTAGTGACTTCTTAGTACTAGTGGTACTAGTGCTGGTGCCTGCCGCTGCTGGTGGGGGGCGGAGTTGGTGGTGGGGGCGGCGGGGACATGCGCACATTGACAGCTTGTTCTTTGTGATCTGGAACGTTTTAAAAGTATGACAGGCCGGGCATTCAAACAGCAAACGACGATCATGATATTTGCAGCAATCGACGATCATGTCATGACTGCAACATGCTGGCTGCATATGTCGCAACTCTCGGTTGTTGCCCGCATGCATTCATGTTTCCTGCTAGCTGGCAACATGGGTTGCATTGTTGTCGCTGCTTTGAGTGGAATTTACATCGAAACATAGTCATAGACAGGCAGCATCAACATCGGCTTGAGGTATGGCCAAACTCCACTGAAGCAAATGATGAGGAAGGCCAGGCCATAAACTTTGCCTAGGCAACGAGTCAGCATGCCGCAAATTGTAGCTACCAACTGACTCAGACAGCACATGCTCAGCTTCATTGTGGCAGTCTGGCGAAATTGGTCCGAGGTTCCCTGCCACATATCTTTGATGGAGCCTATCAGCGAGAAACGGAATGTAGGCGGCAGATCCACCACAGGTCGCCCGTTTGCGGTGACAGAGACCTGACCAAGGCTTTCCAATATCCGCATATCCAAGTAAGTGCACTTTTGGGGGAATGTGAAACAACTTGTTCATGCTGCTTTTAGTGAAGAGACCTTCTTTAATGTGTTATCGCCGCCGCTTGTTCAGAGCCACGCCATTGTTGGGAAGACCTTCTTTGATGTGTTTTGATGTTGGGGCCCTCAAAATGCGGGACCGAATCCAGACCATCCCTTTTCGAATAATCCCCAAGGCCTCTCAGGGCCCTCATTACCGCGGAGCCTGTATTCAGAGCTTCTAATTTTGTATTTTTCTGAGGGCCCTATTGTTAGGGGGGGAGGAGTACTAGAGTTTAAAGAGAGTGCAACATTGCCCGAAATCTGTTTGAAGGCTGGGCTGGAGTTTTCTCATGGCAGCTTGCCAGTGCTGAGCCCCAAACATCCGTCACCCAGGACTGGCTGCTTGAATGCCAACCCTCATGCATACCGGCACTTTCATTCCGATAATGGAAACGGCGATTTGGCGGTATAGAATACTACGGTTGCAGAAGGGTGACGAGGGCATCGCATTTCCAAGCTGTATATGGGGCTTCTGCATGACCTGGGGAGTCTCTAAATTAGAAAGCCTAAGCCCCCTAACCCTACAGCCTAAAACTAATCCTTTCGTCTTTCAATTAAACCCCCATAAACCCTAAGCAACTAAGCTCCAGGGGCCCCAACCCTGACATCGGCTCCATCGCCAGAGTTGCTCGACAGGAACCTGCACTTCAGATCTGAGCACGAGCTCAACAACTTGCCGTCCGTATTAGGGTTTATAGGGGATATACAGGATATATAGGGCTTATACAGTGGCAGAATATAGGGTTACATAGGGATAATGGAAAAGAAAATGGAAACACTATGTTAGGGTTTAGGTTATTTTCTTTGTCGTGCAGGTTTGGGATTAGGGTGCCAGGGTTTCGGTTGGGTGCAGGGGTTTCGGTTTAGGGTTTGCGGCGTAAGGTTTCGGGATGAGGGTGCCGGACTTAAAGTATTTTGAGCGGTGAGTCCTTAAACTTTAAAAACTTAAGGATTGGCATTGAGGGTTTAAGGTTCCCATGTATCAAGGTCTCTTGGGGGAAGCAGTTCGGGACCTGAGGGCTACAAGAGGCTTTCAAGGGCTTGCGGGGTAGAGGATCATATGAAACAAGCAAAAGTCAAAACACAAAACTCAGGGATACAACAAACAAATAAGAATCAAACAACAAATTCTGTTTGTCGTGGTAGAAAACGCAACATTGGAAGGATCAACCACCGCAAATGGTGGCTTCCTGGAAGAACATACCATACTTTCAGTTTTTGGAATGGTGGCGAGACCGCGTATTCGCAAGGACTGATAACTGGCGTAAATCGCAGCAATTCCAGAGCAGCAGACTCCTGAGGCAGCTGGCGCTGGCAAGCAACATTTGCAGTGCCCAGGTAGGATGAGTAGTACTAGGGTTTAGGGTTTAGGGTTAAAACCTAAACCCCAGGGCTTGATGACTCCAACCCCCATGAGGAGGAAAAAACAAGCCTCAGATGGTAACAATGTGTTCCTCATGTTAGGGAAGACTTAAATACTAACCCCCAAGCCCTAGACCTTAAACCTACTCTCAGTTCCTGGGTCGGAGAGTCCTACACCCAGAAACCTAATCTCTTTTACACCCACTGCCGCCACGGGACATCAGCATGGTTGCAATCATCAAAAGAGGCAAACCCCAACCTAAGCTCCATGTTTTAGGGGTTTAAGGTTTAGGAATTAGGGGATTAGGGTTTAGGGTTTAGGGTTTTAGGGTTTAGGCTTTTAGGGTTTAGGTTTTGAGGGTCGATAGGGTCTAGGGGTTTGAAGGTCTAGGGTTGAAGGGGCTTTAGGGTCGGTAGGGTTTTTCGTTTAAGGTTTGAGGGTCTAGGGTTTAGGGGCTACGGTTTCAGGTTTAGTTCATAAAGGCTTCCAGGCTTCTACCCTAAGGTTATACCCCTAAAAGGTTTGCCCAATATGGCCCTAATAGTATTCGCCAGGATTTCTTGGAAGGATCTTAAAACCCACAGGGATTCCTCCATCCTACTTGGAGGTTCAGGGGACTGAGTAACTGCTTATACCTGGGATTATAACCGTACTTGTAGCTAGGATAACCTACTTAAGTACAGTTAGGGGGATTATCAGTAATGTGATAAGACCAAATATAAGCAGCAACTAAGCCCAATGAACCTCCACGTAGGGTCACTACCCTGAAGCCCTTGCCCTTGCGGGGAGGTCAGGGTCGTAAACCTTTGCCGCTTACAATGCCTGCACCCTAAAGTTAAAACCCCACACCCTCCTAATATTACATCTTCCCGAGATATCATAGAAGCCTAAACCCTGAACCCCTCAACCCTAAGCCCTATACCACAATGGGAATATCGAAGGTTAGGGGGTGGAGAGCTTTAACATTAGGAACAGGAGATTAAGAAGGAGGTTCTAAGCTGCTGGGTTGCCGGGGAAGATTCCTTAGATTTGGGTTTCGGGTTCAGTTTAGGGTTTAGGGTTTTAGGGTTTCAGGTTTAAGGGTTCAGGGTAGATTATATTCACGCCTCCCGCCCCACCTGAAAACATTTTAGTCCCCACAGGTTCATAAAGGCCCCATGTATTGGGAAATATTTGATAAGAGGGGGCTGGGGCTGTTAAGCACTAGGGGAATGGATTTCGTGCACCATGAACTATAAACCCTAAAACTCTGGACCCTACACCCTAAACTCATAAAATTACGTGAATCAGTCAGGGCAAAGCGCGCAAAGGCTATTCTCAACACTCCCTGCTAACAAAAAAAAAGAAAATCATGTACGAGCATGGGTCTCAATGTGGGTACCGTCCTACAGTCCTTTACTGTATTCTCCCTAGACCTCAAATAAGTGTATTGTTTTCAAAAATACCTTCTGGCTAGACTCTCATAAGAATGAACCAGAACAATTCCTAAGGAAATAGGAGCTTACATAATCTTGTTTTAACCGCCCTAGACTGGGCTTTGAAACTATTCATTCGAGACGTTGCCTATATAATTCAGTAAATAACCGTATATAACTTCTATAGCCCCTTTTAAGGAGTTTAGACTTTAGACTATAGCTCATTTTAGCCCTAAGGCCCAGACCTGCTGGTGAATGGCAAGCGTCTCTGAAAGCCAGGGTACTTCTAGTGTCCCTTCTTGGAAGCTCTCTTGACACAGCAAGTCTACCTAGTAACAAGGACTATGGGGCTTGTAGTAAACGTGCTTGGTGACAGTAGGCAGCTTTGTTTCCAAGTCGGGTCGCAGGAGGGACAGCGGAACAGAGACAGAGGATATGTGCAGCTCAGCAGCGCATGCAGGGCAAAGTTCTAGGGTGGAATGCCAATGCGTGAGGCGGAGCGACAGCAGATGGGATGATAGCACTGCTTCCACCTTCGGGGCGAGCATGTGCAGTCTGATTAGTCTCCTTCCCCGAAGATCAATTCCCAAACATGGTGCCATAATGTATTAGGGGGCTATTTCTTACCAAGGAGGGTCCGGGGGGTTCTTATAAGGGAGCGGATGAAGGTTTGGGGTTGGAGGGTTTAGGGCCTAAGTTTAGGGTTGAGGGTCAATGGCAACATGTGCCCAAGCAACCGCACTGGTCGGAAAAAAGCGAGAAATTGGGACCACGTTGCGGGAAAACTGGGTGGTTTCCGAAATCAGGAGGATCCCAACATAGACCCCAAAAAACTATAATCATAACCCTAATTTTGGGAAACGACCATCTTTGTGACGGGTCGGGCCTACTTCTGCCACCAACGATGTTGGCCCCGTGTCAGTGGTTGGCGTTGGCCCCGTGTCCGTGCTCGTTGTGACCAAAGAGACCTCCTTTCACATGGAATGGACTGGCTGCAGGCAGTCTGAGAAGATGTTAGCAGCCCTATAGAACATGTTCCCTTATTCCCTGCTACAATCCCAATATATACATATATATGTATATGTCTATCCTACAAGATGGTGGTATTTCCATGTTCCTTTCCATCATCCCTATAAAGCCCCAGTCTATTCCCCCTCTTACTTCCCTAGTTAGCAACGTGCCACATTATGAGGTCAAAGAGCACCGGGTCCAAAGCTCATGGCTTAGGGATTACTGTGCAAGTTCGCATGCGGGGCTGCGTAGTTTGGACATCTCAAAGTGGTGGCGCACAGTGACTTTAGGGATATCTCTGGGTCGTATGGTCCCAACTAGGGAGGATATAGGCATTGTTTTGAGAAACTTGCACATTGGGGTTAATTAAGGTGGTGAAGACTCCCGGCTCTGCGCGCCCTGTCATGTCCACAATTTAGACTGGGATTTCCGACAACCTCTTAAACCGGGGCGTCCCCTAAAAGATTCCCGACCCGAACATATGAACATCCGTTTTTTTCATAGGAAAATGATCTCTTTTTTTTGCAACACCCATTTTCAACCCCCGCAGGCTATGCCATAAGGACTCAGTCAAGGTATTCGGAGGGCAAGGGGAACTTAGTAATTTGGTCAAGATCCCCTATAACTCATATAGTAACCCCAGTTATCCCCCTTATTAACCTACTTACTACGTCCCCCTGACCCTCCAAGTATGGCTTCAGCTTCATTGCCATCGCCCCTGCTGCACCCTATTGAGACACCCGTGCGAATCAACTCTCAGTTCGCCACCTTCAAGCAAAACAGAGGGTAGATAGGGTTTGTATAGGGGTACGTGGGGTAACCGTACAGAAAACGGAAGACTACTACTATTCAGGATTTAGGGTTAAGGGTTCGGGGATTTTACCCCAATAAAAGAAAATCAAATGAAAAAGAATCTGGCAATTGCCATAGAAGCTGGATTCATACAGGGGGTTACCCTAAACAAACTACGTGCTGTAAGGCTTGTGCGGCTGTGTACTGCCCCCACCCAAGAAGAGTCTGTTATAGTTTAGGAG